TTGGTTCACAAATTTTGTCTCATTGTCTGCTATAAACCTTCTGACGAAAGGGTGCCTCAAGTAGAAGTCTTCTATCCTGTCCGCTACACTTCTCCTCGTCTTTTTCTTGAGGGCGACCGCCTCCACGAACCCACTCAAGTTGTCTCGTGCATGTAGAATATACTTGTACCCATCTGTTGACACAGGCATGACCGTAGGGTCAAGGTGGACCAGATGTCCCGGCCCTAGCAACCGCGTAGTTCTAAGCGGTTCAAAGACACGCGCCGAGCGTCGTTCCTCGCAGATAAGGCATGTCTGGCAATATATGGCGACCATGCCTGCCGTGCCTGGCCAATAATAAAGTGGCGCTATCTTTGCAAGAGTTCCTTTGGACGACCGATATCCTCCTGCTAATCCGTCGTGCATTGCTTGGATAACGTCCAACTGCCTAGATCTTACGCACACAAGTCTTCTAGGCATGGCACCTTCTTCTCTTCGGAACAGATGACCGCCCCTTAGGACGTACCTTTCGGCCTCCTCCCTTGCTTTAGCGCTGACTTCCGTCACATATGGTTAACCAAGGGTGTTATTTTCGACGAATTTGGCATCAAATTTCACTGTAATTGTCATATTGTGCTGATTTTTTGCTTTTTTTTTTCCGTTGAACGCTTCATTTTGACTCGGACAGTGTCTTTGTGTTAAGGTTTCATAGTGTTTTTTTGTTTTTTTTTTCATTCTTTTTGGCTTATTTCCTTTTTTGATGTTTGCACTATGGTCCCATATCGTTTGTTTTTAAAATTTTCGATGCAATTCGCACCGAAATTGCCAACGAAAACGATGAATGTTTGGCCCCCGGTTAACCATTTCTCACTTGCGTGGGTTGTTTGTTTCCTACCAGTAACAACCCGATCTCCCGAAAGATCCCTTCGTATATCTGGGCATAGAAAAACTCCTTCCCTTCCTGGTCCTCATCCTTTCTCTCATGCATCTGGTTTACCATCCATCGCAACTCTTTCTTTTCCCAAGATTCCACTGAGCTCATCACGGCTTCCCGGCCTCCCTCAACCGTCATTGCTATTAGTTCCTCCTTTGGTCCCACTATCACTCCCCATGAATCTCTCTCCTCTTCACGACCTCGAGTGGTGACTGATCCTTCTCTAAGTTCTGCTACTACGGCAGGCCCCCCCTTTTCCAAAATCCGGATCAATAATTCTCCCGACGCGTATTCTTCGCCCATCATTTCGTTGTCCACCACAAGAGTTCCGCCTTCGTATTCAAGGAACGCGTCTATGGGCTCCGCCTCTTCCACCCCTTCGGGAGTGATGCTGACCCGGCTCAGCCCATCTGCCTTGTTTCTAATTCTTGCAATCCGTTCGATCTTATAATCGAACTGCCAGATAAATCCTACCCATCTCCCCACTGTCGGATCTATAGGCCTGTAATTTTTTAGGGCCCCTGCAACATTTGTGGGATGGATCCTAAGGATGAACCGCCTCCCAAATAGGTAAGCCTAGAAGGTCTTAAGGCAATGCAAGATGGCTAGGACCTCCTTCTTGAACTGTGAGTACCGCTGCTCTGCGGAGTTCAGGGTTCTACTTTCGAACCTAATCGGCCTCTCTTTTCCCTCCTCATCTTGTTGAATCAACACCCCTCCTACGGCCTAGGGTCCTCTATCCGTTTCTAGGATGAAAGGTCGTCCCACTTCGCCATTAAAACAGGGTGCAAACAAACCGACTTTCTCAGACGTCAATATTTCCTTAAGTGTTTGGACGGCTCCTTTTCGCTCTTCCGTCCAGTCCATGGTCCCCTCTTCTCTAATCATGGTCCAGATAGGCTCAGCAATCTTGGCAAAAATTTTAATAAAAATCCTTCAAAAGCCGACCACATCTAAGAATGCTCTTACCTATGTTGTCGTGCGCAGGGGTGTTGGCCATTGTGATATCTTGTCCGTCTTCGTTGGATCTGGCTTCCTACCGTATGCGCCACAACAAAATCCCAATATGGTTACTTTTGGTACTGTTAGAATACTCTTTGGTCCACTAGCCATGATGTTGTATACTAGGCATCGGCTGAGTAAGTCCTTGATGTCTTGTAGATGGTCCCATACAAATCTGCGGATTCCCGGCCGGACTTCAGTCTCGTCCTTCTCTTGAGCGCCTATGATCGGATTATCATCGATGTAGGGCTCGCATTTTTCTGAAAACATATCTCCGGCTACGACGAGCATCCTCCTTTGCGCTTCGGCTACCGCGTTTGTAAAGCCCATAGGGGTCACTTACATCTGCAACAAGGCTATGGGGGTGTGCATTGCGATGTACAGCCTGTCCCTGACATCCAATGGAAGTTGGTCATACCCTGAGTATAGATCGATCAGGGAGTAAATGCTCCGGCCAGCGTGCGACTCTGCTAACAAATCAGCCTGAGGCAGTGAGCCAACATCTCGGATGGTTACCGCATTCAACTTCTGCAAGTCCTGAATCCATCTCAGCATCTTGTTGGGCTTCCGAAAGACAAACCACCGGTTCGTGTATGGCGATGTCGTAACTTCCGCGACGAAGGAGTCCATCTTTGCTCGAAGAAGGTCTGTCACTTCCCCCGCTGTCCCAAATTCATAAGTCGGACCCTTGTCATTCCAGCACTCGTGCTCTACCGTCTGGATTCTGACCGGGGGAATTAGCTTCGCGTCCAGCCGCCCCTTTTCGTGATCACTAAAGGCAAATGCCAAGTGAAACTCCTGGCAGATCTTTTTTATCAGGCGGGTTTCTTCTTCCGTTAAGAATCCGTCTATCCCTATCTTCATTGTGTCAACTACCTCATCTGGTATCCGATGTCCTTCCGTCGCTCTCCTCTCCTGGATCACTCGAAGGACTTCCTCCTCCTTCTCCATAACCTCTTCCTTTGATGTCTCTAGCAGGATCGAGACCGGCTTGTACTTTCGAACACTTCCTTCCGGGATCTTTCTCCTACAAAATGAACGGCTGGGATTGCTCTCATCGCCTCTACGACTCGTGGTTGAATACTAACTAATTTTTCATTCAGACAATATCCCTTTTGCATTTCTCCTGCGAATTTGACCAAGGCCGCCGAGTCCACCCCTACCTTCTGGTATCTGAGGGTCTTGATGAGCTGTAACAAATCGGGGATCTCGAGTGTGACTTCTGGCACGTCCATGTGTGCCTCTTTCCGTTTGGGTAGGCTGGTACCAAGTTCGATTTCTGACTCCTTTTCTGCGACCATAACACCTAAGACTTCGTCCCCCTGCCTCCTCTTCTTCTGGGGCAGGCCTATCTTTATCCATTCCTTCTTGTTGAATGCCTCATCAATCATAATTTGTACTCTTTCTCTCATACCTTCCATCCGCGCGAAAACCCCTTTTCGTGCGCTATCCTCGAACGACGGTGACCATGTTGCCAACTTTCTCTTCGGAGGGTCTCCTCCCGTCCCGAGAAGTCGAAGAAGTTCACCCCGGCCGGTCACTGGGTCCTCTATGTGTACCATGTACGTGCCATCGTGTAAGTGCATGCCTATCATTTCCACGTTTGCGCACCACGATCTTCCGAGGATTATATCGTGGTCCATTTCCTCCATTACTGTCATCCGTTGGAACGACCAAATCGATTCTTTGACCCCCGCATCGACTGCGCATTTCGTGACATACCTAGTGAACGGGATTTCCCCACCGGCTCCCCGGATGCTCCCTGTTACTTCCTTGTTTACCGTACAGTCCATGATCGTTGCGAAATCCCTCCTTATGAGAGTGATTTCCGCTCCCCTGTCTACTAACGCGTCGGTATAATGAGTCCTGATCTGGATCTTCAATTTTCCTACGGGGAACACATGGAAACTGAGCTTTGTCCCGGGATGTGCCCTCATGACCTCGCCACCTTCTCGATCTGGCAAGCTCAAGCGGATGTCCGCAAAGGCCTTCTCGAGATCCTCCAGATCCCCGCGACCCCTTTGAAGGTTAGCAACTTTTTGCGGAGCTTTCTCCTCCCTTTCTTCTTCTGGTAATTCAGGGTTGTCGTCTATTTCTACTCGCCGCTGAGTCAACAGTTGTCTAAGTCCTTTGAGCAACCTAGGACTAGCCTGCAGCATGGTCTGAAACGATACTGACAACATGGTTCTTAGTAACTTGCTAAGGGTGCCCTCGATCTCAGGTATGGTTAAGATTGGGATTTGATACCGAAACTTGTTTTTAGTAGCGGTGACTTTGTCCGTTGGCTCCTCTTCCCTAGGCTTCCCATAGACCTTCTCTGGTTCCTTGGCCTCGGGCTCTGCCTGGGGTTCCGAGCTTCCAGCAACCTCCTCCATCACGGTGTCACGGATAATCCTTCTTTCGGCCTTCCCTAGCTGAGTTGTCGCGTTCACCCTATCACATCCACCGTTTTCCAAAATGAAGTTGACCTGCGGCCCGCCGCCCCGAAGTTGATCCCAGATGATATCTACCACCGGCTCGGCCTCTACTGCAGTTATCTCTAACCCATTGATCATGATAACGGCTCACCGCATCCCTTCTGGCAAATTTTAATTTACCCATTCTCCCTGTGGTCGAAATATCTCTCCCTTTAACGACCCGGTACATCTCCTTTTCAATATATCATGGTTGAGCTTTGGGCAGGCGCGCACATAATATCTCATTGCAGTGCAATATTTGCATTGCTCGTTAGCAGGATCCCTCCGTCCGAATCCTCGATTGGCTACCCCCGGCGGAACTACAGTCTCTTGGGGAGGGAGGGCGGGTTGGGATACTTGCGCCTGCATAACCAGCAGCGCGTTCTCCACCCTTTCGATCTTATTGTCGACTCCGTGCACCCGTTCGTGTAGGTTCTCAATCCCCCTTTTTACCTTGTCGCCTGTCCTATTGGTCATATCTATAACTTCCCCTTCTTTGAGCAAGGCCAATGTTTCGGTTACTACCGTCTTCTCAACCAGTTCTGTTTCCGTACTAAAATCAACATCCCAAGTGTTTACGAACTTGCTCGTCTGTTGGTAAGCCGACAGAATCTTGTCTTTGTCGAACTCGAAGAACTGCCTGAGGAAATATTTGTTCATTATCTGGTCCGTGACCCCGGGGATCCTTAGTGCTACTACAGTAAGCTCCCATAGGAAATCATTGAATGTTGCGAAGTTCTTCCTCTGAACTGCCGCTAAGTCGGCCTCCGCAGCCATTTTCTCCGCTACCATGTATTTCCTCATCATCACATCCCGCGTCTCCTTCCAGGACCGGCTCGCGGCCACAATGACCATTATGTCCCGCCCTAGGCTTAGTGACACATGCTGTCCTAAGTGGTCCATCTTTTCTTCTTCGGTCCATTTCAGCAGCGCAGCTAGGTTTTCATAATCGATTAGGAACTCCGTGATGTTCGCCCCGTCGAACGTCAACTTTTTCTTAGCGTTCGCTAGGTAGCCCTGGTTTTTGTTCAATGCTCGCGCAAGGGATGATACTATCTTCCTAAGGCCGCCTTCAGAGCTACTGGCCTCGCCCGCCATACTGGTATCCAGTTCTTCCTTGCCGGCCTTCTGTCCCTCCCTAGTCTTTGCAGTTCCTTCCAGGTCGAACCATCCCAACACCCTTTCCCTGAGGCTCCAGAGCCCTTCACACCCTCGAGTTACCGCTGGCGTGGTTGGCAGGCAGCTAGCCCTACTATCTATGGCTGGTGGGTTTGTAGCTTTCTCGGCTTCCATCCATGGAGAGTTCTCTATTTCTTTCCTTCTTTTGCTCGGTGTTCCCCCACGGTCACTACCTTTATCCCCTTGCCCAATTCCGCCTTGGCCGGTCCTCCGTTCGTCCCGCGGTTCTTCCTGCAGAGGGCCTTCTTCATTCCTAGTCATCATTTCCTCGATCAATCTTTCCTTGTACCCCGCGGTCCTTTTTTCTATCTCCGCTAATTTGCTCCTCGCATCCGTGACCCTTACTTTCTTAGACACAGCTCCCTCTGAATTTTGGGGGCTTGTCCTATCCTTATTTCTGCCCTCCTTGGTTTCCTGAGTCCCTTGCCTGCTTCCCCCGACTTTCCCCGAGCTTTCGCCTGAGGAAATTTCCTTCCTGTTCCCTTTGGTACCATCCGGATTTGTCGATTCTCTGTCTTTCTACCCTTCTTCGCTCTGCACGGCACTGCCTCCTAAGCCTGGTCCTCCTTCGCTCTTACGGTTATCCGTCTCATCTTCTGTTGCCATTTTGCCTAGTTCTGCATAAACCAAAGGATTCCACAGGACACATGCAGTGCGAGGCATTTAGGTTCCCTAGGTCTCGGCCCTGTTGGCTTATCTTTATTTGGATAATAGCCTTCTCCCCGTTTCCGTTCTCCGATTGCTTCCCTAAGAAGGAGCCACGTCTGGTCCCGCTGCCTTACCGGGCTAAGGGGCGTGACTTAGTTTGCTTTATCACAGGTTCGTTTAGAGCGCCCTCGTCCCGTCAGCCGGCGCATAGGAGTCTGGGTTAGGCATCCTTCTAGGGAAAGTTTCCCGAGCAGTATTCCCCTTTTCGACCTTCAGGGTCATGGCAACCATTAGGAGTCTACCCCCCACCTTTTTTTTATTTTCTAGCGGGTTTTGATTGTCCGGGTCCGAGGCCCCTTTCTTATTTCCGTAGCGACTGTACTTGATTTGCCCTATTGGCCGGCCCCCGGGTGCTAGTCTCTTTCTCGCCCTCGTGGCCCTTCCGGATCGGTAGGCTCCTCGAATAGTTGAGCCACCCCCACCAAATAACTCTCTCCTATCTCGATTTTTCTTAGGATTATATGTTCATAGTCCGTCCAGGCAAGCCGTAGCAACCCAAATATCAGGATATGGATGACTTCTAGTAACTCATGGGCCCTGTTTCCGCAGAACGGCCCATGTTCCACAGAAACATTGTAGAACATCCAGATGGTCTGAAAGGGGAAGTGGTCTACCCAGACTATCGCCGAGTCTACCAGCGCTTGTGCCCTGGCGAGGCTCCCGAAAATGAGGTCTATCATAAATCGGGGGACTCGATACCTCATCAGTGTGGTTGGTGCCCTGAACTCCCTCCAACCTCTCATTTCCACCCTGGTAAGCAAATCCACGTTTCTTCTACCCCTGACCGATTGTCCTATCCTCGTCAATACCTGGACCGCCCTCCGAAAGACTAGAGCCAGTTCGTGGCCTTGCGCTATTCCTATCCCCAACAAGTGTCAGCCAGCCTCGGGTAGGTATAGGACCCCGGTTACTTCTAAATTGGTGAATAGGTCATCCCCAGACCCTCGGTTGAGTCTCATCCCAGTCCACCGACATTCCACCAGAATGAAGGCGCTGTCTCTTCCTAATGTCACGGCCCGCCATTCCGTGTCGAGCCCCCGAAAGTTGGAATTTGACGGGAGGGATACTTCCCATCGTCCGTCGTTATTCCAGGGCGGTCCGGGGTACCGGGGCTGGCGTTCCATTCGCACACGTCTTGCTGCCATTGTTGCCTTGGCGATTCCCTGCATAGTCCACATAGAAAGGGTTACAACCAATCCGCAGTAAACGTCCACCTACTGCCCCCTTACCCTTCATGTTTTCATTCTTCTTCTATGATCCCAACTATCCCTCCATATCCCCGGGAGCAGCAACCTCCTCTGGCTGCTTGTACAATCGATAAAGGTCGTCTATGTAGGTCGCGCCCCGACCTACTTCCCGCCGGATGACTCTCCACATGGCCTCATCACTTATTTGCGGAACTCCTGGCCTAGTATTTACTGTTGTTTGTGGTATGCAAAGCACCTCGTGCCCCTATTCGTCTTCAAAAGGCCTCATCTCTAGGAAGGTCTGGTAGTATTCCTGATACATTAATGCTTCGTCAAAATCTAGCCTAGTTGTGGCAGCTACCGCCTGCTCCACTCGCTCTACGCCTCCCATTCGTCTTAGTAGAAAGGGTGGTAGACTCATTCGTACGACCTCATTTGGCAACTCAAAGACCCCTGCTGCGGCGACTTTTACCTCAGCCGTCACGTCATCTCGTTCCGGATCCGCGAACTCAAACCCCTCCCGCCAGGTTATTTGCCATGCTCCTTCGAACATTCGCACGGGGTCATCCCCGGAAGCCAAAGCAATCCCAAAGGTCCGCCATCCTTCTTCCGACAGGTGTAAGGATCCCGTTGCATGCACGCGCCCTGGGAGGTCCAAATTTATGCCCTCGAACTCCCCTCTCGCACGCCACTCCAGCTCTACTACTACGTACACCGTGTCTTCCACCAATTCTACACCCACCCAGTCCATTACCGGGTTACTTACCATGTTTCTTGCTGGTAGGCTTATTTCGACCCTGCCCCCTGATGCTCTTGGTGATATGATCCCGCGAGGCCTATCCTCCCAGAATGTCATTCGTTGGGCCATCTTGCAATGTGTCATTTCCTGCTTCTTTAGTCCGATTGCTGCACCCACCGAGATTGCATGCCTTTCGTGCTTTAGTCTTTCAGTACTCCCTACCTATCGTACACTGGTTCTTGCTGCTATCCCTGCCCCATACACATACAAGTTTTCTTCCCCTTTTTGATGTTGCTACCTCCCCTTGTTTCGACCCCCTCGCATCCCCTGCTAACTAATGTACACGCCCCCTTTTCTTATGCTACATCCTAATTCACATGCACCCTCCATACTCTGAACTTCCTGTCGCGTTCAATTTTTCGGTCCCATTAATTGAACCACAGTACCTCAAACAGCGTAAAGATATCGTCCACGTAGGATGGTGCGGCCGCCGCCTCCCGGCTAACTATGGCGTCCCAAGCCTCTGCGTTTACCTCTAGGCGGTTGTACTTATCTATCCTCAGGACAGTGATCAACTCTTATCGTCGTAGAAGGGCCCATATTTTAAGGAGATCATACAGAATTCCTCGGTCAGCCACGCACATTCTATATGTACTTCCCTCATGGAGTCGGCCACGCCCGCTATGTGCTCGAAACCCCCGAACCAGTCGGCCACGAACTCAGGCACCCACACTGTTGTGCGCAGGCAGGGAGGCCTGAGTTCCCTCCATCCTCCCATCACAACTCTGCTGCTAACTTCGTCTCACCCCTCGTTGGCGAACCTCTTGCCTTCTTTTCGGGTTCGCGCCTCTGCATCCCCTAGAAGCCACATTGGATCCTGTCCCATTGCTAACGTAGTGCAAAATAGGTGTCACCCGTCCTCGGAAAGGACAATCGTCCCGACCGATTCCACTTTGCCCTCTGCTATCTCGTCCCAACCTTCCTCTTCCCTTATCGGGTTCCAAATCCGTTCTATCCATACATATGATAATTCCCGGGCAACCTCAAACCCAACCCAGTCGCACGTGGTCCCCCTCCATTCGTTTTCTGTCGGTATAGGCATCTTTATTCCTCCTTTGAGTCGTCTTGGTCCCCAACCCTTGAAGGTGTATTCCATCAGCCTTTCCTCTCTAGTCATCTTTTCCCCTTCCTGCACAATACCAGGCCACCCGTTTTCCCTAAGTTAAGTCACCCTCCTTAGAAGTCTCAGTCCTCTATCCCATCATCTTCGTCCTCATGACTGAAATCGTCCTCTTCGTCGTAGAACAACTTTTTCACCCCTTCCAGAAATGTCTCCCCTATTGCCACATTTCTATAGACTATCCCTCAATGCACGGAGCTAGAGACAAAAGCATCGTCTACACTAAGGCAGCTTAGTACCTCGGTCAGCTCGTCCGCCCAGCTCCCCTCAAACGACCCCATTTCTACCGACAACCTAAAGAAGTCTTGCCTAGCGCACTGGTATAGTCCGAGGTTCGTCATGGACTAACATATTCATACTAGTCTGTTTCGGGTTCCGAAAACCCCATCCACCAGGAAGGGAGGCAGCACACATCGCATGGTTCTAACGGGTCGCCTCATGCTCCCCCTATCCCCAAGTTCCACCCGCACGTCTACCCTTTCCATTTCCATTTCCCTCCGCTGACACGCAGCCCACACAACCTCCGCTTCTGCCTTCCTAAACAGCTCGTCCGACGCATTTCCGAGTGGCAACTCTATGACCATAGCATTCTCCCCATCTTATGACAAGTAGACCCACCCCCGGGCTTCCACTGTCCCTCGGAATTCCAAATCCATTAAACTTTGCGACAACCTCGTCAAGCTGACATTAGTCCATACTGTCTCTATCCAAAGAAACCCGTCCTCCCATTCCAACATTGTCGTTTGATACGCTGGTTCAAGGTCCGTCCACGCTCCATCTTCCGCGAGGACGACCGATACCCCATCCTTTACATCTACTGGCATTTCCGGGCCGCTGGTATAGATCGGGGAAGGCAACCATCGCACCATCTTGTTTCAGCACCCGACCCCTGCTTTCATAAAACAGTACCAACCGGTCCTTCTGGTCAGGTCAACCCTTGTCCTAGATGAGAACTATTTCAGACCCCTCATCAAGGTCTCCCTAATTTACCTTCCCATTCCTAAGTATCTCCTTCCCGTAATACCCTCGGTCGGTCATCCATTTCCCCACATTCCTTCTCTTGGTTCCATTCCGACTGACCTCTATCCTCCTTCCTTCCGATCATCTCCCACTCGTGTGGACTTAGAAAGGGGGGGGGGATAGGCTTAGAAATATGTCCCATCCAACAATCCAAGCTCAAT